CCGATTCTACGATCCGGACATACGAACCATACTGGGCCAAGTTTCGAGCATTTTGCACAAAAGTGGATCTCTCCTTTCTTCCAGCTTCCGACATGGCACTCGCACTATACCTGGTTCACGCAATCCGACGCAAAGCCACCCTGTCCATAGTGCAGCTGACGTGCTCGGCAGTAAGCTTCGCCCATCGCATGACTGGGAACAAATGCCCAACAATCGGTCCGTTTACCACCCAAGTCCGCGACTGTGCAAAACGACACTGCCCCCGCCCTACTCGTCTGAAGGAACCCGTATCGATCCAACAAGTCCGCGACATGGCCGGGAGTTACCTGCAGTCTGACGACCCTGCGGAATTTCAGAAAGGGCTGATCCCCATCCTCATGTACTCAGGATTTCTGCGATACTCCGACCTAGTGGCCATACAATGGCAAGACATCCAATTCGACGAAGAGGTCATGTGGATCCTCATACCACACTCTAAGACCGATCAGGCCGGTCACGGAACATGGATACCCATTGCAGCAACGACAGACTCTTGTTGCCCAGTGCGCTGCACCCGACGCTTCATCCAACTCGCCGGCTATGGTCCTCAGTCAGAGGGACCGTTGATTCGTGTCTTCGGGCACGCTTCAAGCAGCAAAGGCCAAGCGAAGCCGCCTTCATACACAACAATTCGGAACTGGTGTAAGGAAGCTTTCGCAAAAGTTGGTCTGGGAGAGCTGCAGCTCGGCACTCACTCTTTCCGAAAAGGCGCGGCCACAGTAGCAGCCAACACTGGAGTGCCAGACAGAGTCTTCAAACGGCTGGGCAGATGGCGAAGCGACACAGCTAAGGAAATGTACGTCACGCCATACGTCGAGCCTCTCATCACAGCATCCCGCAACCTGCAAGATCCGACGCAGGCGGTGTCTTCGGCGCAACACACAGAGGCGCTCGTACGCCATAGGAGGCCCCCGCTGCCCATGTCTCAGAGAACCCAGTTGTAATGAGAACGATGCCAATTGATAAAAATAAGAAAGCAAGCTTTCTCAATATTATAATTTTTAAACACACATTGTGTTTTTCAAAATTGTGTATTGTGAAAGCGAAGCTGCTTGTACTGCACAATTGGCATCGTCGAAGCGCGCTAAACGCCCTTCTCCAACTACAAAAACCGTGGGTTGGAGCTCATTTCCCTCCACCCACGTTTCTCTATTTCAAACGGCTCACTCAACATCCCCACCACCCACCCCAGCGTAGAACGGCTTGCTAATGCCACTTGGATAGGGTACATCTTAGCTAGTGATATTAGCATGCAATAGCTTGTGTTCAATCTCGATGCAAATGTTGTAATAAGCCAGTTGTAATGAGAACGATGCAGTTGTAATGAGAACGATGCCAATTGATAAAAATAAGAAAGCAAGCTTTCTCAATCCTCTCATTGAAGGAGCGTGGTGGATCATGGTGGATTGAAGTGCAGTCATGGAAAAATATACCGTACCTGTACGTGTATTATAGAGCTTATCTGCTCTCAGCCTCTCTCAGCATTGGAGGTGCTGACACTGAATAAGCCGCAGATAAGAGAGTGGAGTCTGGGTAGTGGTTCTTACTCCTGGGAGCACGTGGAGGAATTCCGCTTGATAATACCGTACCTTTTGTTATGGCTTGATTCAGAATTGTTATTTATTGCCTTTGTTATGATTGCTGTATTGTAATTCCCCGTATAATACCGCCACTCTTTGATATACCGGTACTCCACCATAGTATGAATATTGTGTGGCTATTGTCATAGCTGAAACCAGTCAGACAATGGCTAAGCGAAAGACATTTGTGCTGTTGTCCGTCATAATGTCAATGTCAAACCCGGAGTACACGAAGTGGCAAGGCAACGGCAGCGGGATATGTATAATACCGAGATTGACGGTTTCTGCATCTCATAGTGGCGTTTCGCCCCCCTGCAAGACAGCCAGTTCACGCAGATACTCCAGTCCAGTTTACGCTTTGCCTTGGAGACATCGACGGTCAAATGTCACGAGAAGTTGACATGAAAGAATCTGCATGCAAGCAGATCATCCATAGATGCACACTCGTTCATGCAAGCGGCACTTGATCTGTTTCCCATCACGGGATCGCGACTCGTAGGTGGCTAATCACGACCACCCTAGAGCTAGATTCACACCATACAATAAAGCCTGTATTGGTGAGCCTCCTATAGGTCGAATCTCTTGAGTGTTGTTATGGTTTCGTTTCTCTGGAGTTTTTGTCAACCACCACCATGGACTCACGCGCTTTGTACAATTCCACTTTTCCGGCTTCGAAGTTGACCAGACTGAACAATTTCTCACTCTCAACACTCACGCAGCTGTCGACTACGCTGAGGAGTAAGTTTGCTAGATCCATTCAATGCAGAGGGAAAGCTCTGGAACGACATGCTCCCGGCTCCGGTGATCTTCAGAGCACGTTCAAGGAACTGAGCTCTACGTGGAGTTCTCCGGCAACGAATCGAGCTCCGGTTGGCATGTTCTGGGACTACGAGAATCTTCATCGCGAAAAAGGACTTGCCTGTAGGCTGCTTAAAACTTGCCAAGAAGTTACTTTTTGGATACTTTGGTTTTGCAGCTTTGCAGTGATGGACGAAGGTTGCAGAAATCCGAGTCACTGGAAAGTTGAATGAAAGTTGCAAGAAAGTTGCATTCCTGCAACACTTCCGCAACTTCGCGGACATTCGATGGACACGTTACGTATACATTTCTGCAACATGTATGCAGTTTCAATACTTGCCACGTGGCACGCGTACAGTTTCGACTTCGAAGTGTACGTACGCCGGTACGTTCGCGAAGATATTTTGCCACGTAAGCAAAGATATTGTGCCAGGTGTCAGTCTCGTTATGTGATCAGAAGCTTGCCATGTGGGCCAATCAGACATTAACTTGTCGTGTGCGAAAATTGATTTCTATTGGTCGTCGATTAGCCTGAACAGTACAAGCGGATCATTCGTTACAGCAGCTTTTTGATACTGGTTTAGTCTGAGGGATACAGTTTCATGAAGATCTATAATATGTTTCACATTTGCATACATACTCATTAAGTATACACCTCGCGCTAACACTATGTAAAAACGTACACAGCTAACACCAAGCACTTGTACATAGCTTCACGTCTTGTGTGGAGGGCACAGGCTGCGAAAAAATGCTTCTTTATAACGCCTGCAAACAGTACACACATAATGTTAGAGCTTGGTTAGTCATATGCGCGTTCCCCACCTCAGTGACTTACCACCTGCCTTCACCGCCACTTGTAACATTGCTTGAACGTGCTTGGTAGCTTCTGCATATTGATGAGACAGCTGGAAATAGAAGTTAACGTCGCATGACTTCCATTAACCCTGCACATGAAAATCAATCCTGAAACACTATGACCACCAGAACAACAGACATGGAAACGTTATCGTTTGAGGCTGGATTCCAGACAGCAAGGGATAAGAAGGCGCATGGTGAGAAGCTCAAACAGAGGCAGAGAGAGACATGCGTGCGAGTAAACACCCTCCGCGTTCTCGCGCTGACGACGGCGCGTCCCCTACGATTCGTGGGCCGAAGGTCCTCTGCAAGCAGTGAACATGGCGACGAGCAGTATTGGGAGGCTGGGGGAAAAAAGAAGCGCAACTGATTAGTGCGAAGAGGGAATGGGAGGACTGGCAGGGGCGGGAAACAATGCACAGGTCACAAGCGAAGGCGAAAGATCTGCACACATATCGGGAAGTTACGTGTAAGGCGATTGCTCGCGAAGAATAACCCGTGAGCATAGATGAACGGATGGAAACACATATCAGAGTTACAACCTAAGGCACACGCACGGATAAATGATTGCTAGGTCTCGAGCTACAGAAAGCATGTGTAGCACACCTTTCGGCGATTTGAGCGCGGAACCCGGCGATTCCGTTACTAGTCGCTGGTGCCACGTTCTCCGCGTGAGGAAAACGCTGATGTTTAAACTGTAAAAGGGAAGGTGAGGATTCGGAGGGGCGGAAGGGTAAAGACATAGATCTGAGTAAGTACCAGTGAGAAGATACAATAAAAAAATACGATGGGCTGTCGTCTTCGGGTGCACACTTAGAGGCAGGAGATGTATGCGAGAATTGAAGAACCTCAACCAGTTGTGTGAGAATGAGGCAGGTGACGGGTGCTTGAACGGGATAGAGTCAAGTGCAGTGTGAGGGTAAGAAAGACAGATGCTTCTGGAACTCGGAGGTGTGCTGATGTGTCGTCAAAAAATGCCGTGGATTTCTGAGGTAGGCAAGTGCACACCAGTGATTGGTTAATTAAAAATCATTACGATGGACCACTTCGTTACCGGTTAGCTAAACCATGGTCCGGGGAAGCCACGTCAGTACAGTGAATCTGAACACTTAGCATGGATTGGGTGTGACTTTGAACCCGTGTGCCAGTTGCCCGTTTCGAGTGTTGGTTGCACCTTGGCGAGATTCGTCCTGTTACGTATCCTCGTTACTGTACTCGCAAATCTCGTGAAAGCGTTCATCGATTGGATACCAGCAGTACCACACCATGGGGGACTCCCAAGGGTCGGTCGTGACCAGGTGTACAGTTCGGTCTGGATGTTTCGAAGCTGACGCCAGAAATGCGCGGTTCGAGTATCCCACGAAGCCAAAAATCGCGCCTCGGGTACCCCATGTACCCAAAATTTGCGGCTCGGTTACCCCTTGTATCCGAAATTTGTGTGAGTTGCAAAATTCAATCAATGCTTTTTGGATACTTTCCCGATACAAATCAGCAACTTTCCTGCAGGTTTCAGACTTAAACTCGATTTTGGGCCAAAGCCTTTTCCGCGATGTTCCTGTCCCAAAGCGTGCGTCGACCTCGGAAATTGTTTGCGGGCTGCAGAAATTTGCGAACGATCTAGGAGACGTCCAGCTGATCAGAGCGTACGGACAGGACACATCCTTTCAAGAGCAGAAGGAAATTCGCCGATGCAATGTTGAGCTCGTGGTAGTTCCGCCAGGAAGAATCATGGCAGACAACGCCATAAAGAAAGACGCTGAAAGGTTCTTGCTCAGGGAGATCGCATGCCTTCTGAACTCTGGACGGAAAGGCGCTTTGAAGGCCAAGGAAGTGTTGTAGCTTTAGCTTTTATAGATTTCCTCTTTTTTTCAGCCACTCCACTGTTTTTTTTTCTTATTTAAGCTGTACGTGAGTATCTCAACCCTCGCTTCCCATGCAGTTTCGAGCTTCCTTTGGTGGTCATACTTTCTCGAGATCGGGATTTCTTCCCTTTTATCACAACACTGGTTCGCACGGGAGTGAGAGTAGTCACAGTATTCTCCTTAACCACCAAACGGAACCAGGAGCACATTGAGAGATGGCGCTCTGCTCTTACGCAGTCCAAGGTGTCCGTGCACTCCAGTGAGGTACGAGCAGGTTCATTCATTATTCGCGGATTCCTGCTCAGCAGGACTGACCTCATGTCATCATCTGCAGAAGCGTCTCCAAAGTTGGATCCTACCAACTCCAGCGCACACAACACCGCTGCAAGCTTGACACCCCCACAAGTTACCAGCTATGTTCCAGAAATCGCACGGCTAAAGTACGAGTTTTTTACCATCCTTGGTGCTCACGGTACACGCGACATCCTTCGATTTCTCCAGCTATACCATGCTGTGTTTGGGAAGCAGTTCAGGTACAAAGACCACGGTTTGAATGGACAGCATCAGTTGATATCTGCGCTCAAGGGTGTTGTGGATTTTGCCAGGGTAGAACCGAACAAGCCTCCCAGCAGTTCACTCGTCCAGTCGGAAGCCAATATGAGAACCCTTGGGCTCATCCAGTCAAGGCTGAGAGTCGCGGTTCATGCAGCACTGGAGGATCTCTTGCCAGCCGAATGTGTGACTAATGTAACACCCTGTGTAGAGGGCTCTTCCGGCCATTGGATTTCCCTGGAGCAGCTGGAAGAACAGCTGAGACTGAAGACACGGAAGCAGTTGGGCGTGCTGTTAAAGGACCATGGTTTCCCAAAGTCTTCAACAAGGTCTCATGTGAAGAAGAGGCTTGTGCTCCTTCTGAAGGAAATGCCTGATTTGCTCCAAGTGCAGGACGCCACAAAGAAAAGAGTTCGTGTGCGTCTCATTCGAAGAGAGAAGGACACGAGGATTGCCGAGTGGAATCTGAAGAATGCAGCGTGGGATGGATCAGTGTACATGTGTCAGTCAAGGACTACTGGTAAGAATACAAAAACGAATTGACCCCAGGCATGAATGATTCACAAGTGGACAATCTAGCCACGACACTTTCACTGAAGCTGTACCGATACCGTATGTGTCCCTCGCATTCCCCCAACACGCCATACTATCTTCTGCATCTTATCCAGCTCCTCATTCTTCTGCAACATGGCCAATCGGTAGTGCTCTACTACCATCAGGCCAAGTTCAGAAAGAAGATTGACCAGGTAGCGTCTGCTCTGCTGTCCAAAAGTCTCAGCTGGACCTTGTGTTATATGACAGTAATATATGGGGTATCACAATACAGCAAGCATATAAGAAAACAATACGGTAATAATAATGTAAAAAAAAAACAAATCTGAATCAAAGCATGTAACAAAATATGGTCCTAGTACCGGTACTATTCTACATAATAGGAGCAACCAACCCCACCTGGCCTTATATCAAACCCGTGGGCCTTATTCAGCATTTGCACGGCCAAAGCTTAGAGCAGCCGGGCCATAATGCACTTGAAGAGAAGAAAATGTTGCACGGTTGGGAAATTGTCCGACCACTTATTATTCCTTCATGGCGCACGAATTGCACGGATATCCCCCCTCGATGAGGTGAATCTTGTCGCTGTTGTCGGGGTGCATCCGTTGGGGAGAGAGAGGAAAAAGAAAGGCCGGATTGGTTGAACATCGATGCATGCACACCCATGCATGCACACCCATGCATGCACATCCATGCATGCACACCCATGCATGCACACCCATGCATGCACACCCATGCATGCACATCCATGCATGCACACCCATGCATGCACACCCATGCATGCACATCCATGCATGCACACCCATGCATGCACACCCATGCATGCACATCCATGCATGCATGCTCACAGGTACACACACACATGCACGCACTAGCATGCGTGTGCTACGATAGAAGGAGAGGAAGTGTGCATTTTAACTCACCACCCCCTTTGCCGTGCGCACAGTCCACGGCATGTCCGAGTGGATGGAGCCATGCTGGAAGCAGGAGAAGAGGAAGACGGCGTTGGCAGGTGTGGAGTGCGGTTGAGATGGTGATGAAGTGGTGGATGATGGTGGGTCGGTGTGGAGGAGAGGAGCCGCTGCTGATGCCACTGCCTTGCGGTAGTCTGAAACCCAGGAGTGGTGAAAGGTGAAGCACGGTGAGGTAATGTTAGGCAAGGTGAGGCAAGGTGAGGGCAAGGTGAGGCAATTGAAGCAAGGTTAGGCAAGGTGGGGAAAACGGAGTGAGGCAAGGCAAGGCAAGGCGGGTGGGAAAGAAATTTAAGGCAAGGTAAGGCGGCAAGGAAGGCAAGGTAAAGTTAGGCAAGGAGGGTAGGACAAGGTAAAACAAGGAGGGTAGGGAAACGCAAGGCAAGGAGAGTAGAGCTGTGCAAGTGCAACCGAAAGCTCCTTTTAGAAAAAATTTAGGCTTTACACTCCCTCCCATTGTGAAACGTACTCACTCACCCACACTCACGTACCCTCGATAACTCGATTCTCAGCAGCGGTGCACTTGCTGAGGTGGTTGAAGCAGTCTGGAGGGGCCCTTGTTCCCGAATCCAACACCTGCGGTGCTGCAATGGCCCTCATCTGCAGGTCAGGGTACAAAAGAGAGTGCAAGCGACAGAGTCAGAGAGGAAAGGTCGAACTGATGAGAGAGTAATGATAAAACAATGATAGCATCAATTCTGGCAATGAGTAACAATCGTATAAATAACATATCATTCCATCAAACGACACGAGCAACACACTTGTCAACATACCGCGATCTTGTCATAATTGCTGTTAATGAGGAAGAGAGGCGTGGAGACGTATTTCAGCAGTTGATCGGCCATGAAACACTGTATTGGTGAGGAGGGAAGAGTGGGCCGGAATCTGGCAATGGTGAAGAGGATTGAAGAGGAGTGAAGAGCGGTGATAAGGGCAACTACGGAAGGAAGAGCAGGAGTCAAGTGAGAGGGGGGGTGCTTGTTGAGGGGATGGATTTAGCACGTTGGCTCACGGCAATGGCGGGATGGCATGGCGTGGAAGAGAAGAGAGCACGCGAGGTGGGATGGCAGACTCAGTGCGTGCAATGCAGCATTGGCTTGGCACGCGCCGCGCACCTCATGGTGTTTCTCTGGCTCTCGCTCCTTGAGACATGCTGGCGGAAGGTTGCCAGTCAGATTCTGGACGGGTGGAGCCATGGGGGAGAGGGAAGGAGAGAACAGGGAGGAGGGAAAGGGAGGAGAGAAAGCGGAAGGGAGAGAGAAGTGAGAAGGATGGCAGGTATGGTAGGTGTGAAATTGCATCTCCTGGCTTGCTCACATGCATACATGTCCTGGCTTGCTCACATGCATATCCTAACTTGCTCACATGTATATCCTGACTTGCTCACATGCATATCCTAACTTGCTCACATGCATGTCCAAACTTGCTCACATGCATGTCGTGCACTTCAGCAAAGAAATTGGCAACCCTTCTGGTGTTGTTGACATCTGGTCTGCACATGGGGGGAGAGGGAGGGAAAGAGATACACACACGCATGCACCGACATGGGTCTGGGGTTTAGAAAAAAAAAAACACCTTCAATATTTGTACTAAAAAAAATAAACAAGTCAACACAAGTCAATGGGCTCTTACAATTCAGCCCATAGGAGTGAAAGAGGAGTGAATAGGAGTGAAAGGGAGTGAAGAGGGGTGAAGAGGAGTCTTACACGTCGAGGAACATGGAGGCATCAGCAAGGCAGCGGACGTGCATGGAGGGAGAGGCGGCTGTGAGAGTGTCCCTCGCTCGATCGCAGAGCAGCAGTGCCGCCACCCCTCCCGCTGAAGACCCCGACACCACCACCTGCTCGGTTGACGGGTGGGAGGGACACGCAGGGTCGAAGGAAGGGAAAGGGGGGAAGGAAGCGAGTCACAGACAAGACAAGCGGGGACGAAAGGGGGAAGAATTGGATTCCAGCAGCTTCCAGTGGAATTCCTGCCATGAAGGAAGGACAGAGGCAGCCTCTTGTAATGAGTCGTGTTTTGAGTCGACTCAAAACACAACACAATTCCTGCCATGAAGGAAGGACAGAGTCAGCCTCTTGTAATGAGTCGTGTTTTGAGTCGACTCAAAACACAACACAATTCCTGCCATGAAGGAAGGACAGAGTCGGCCTCGGCTGATCGCTGCGCTACAGGCAGGTGAGCAGGCAGGAGAGCAGGCAGGAGAGCAGGCAGGTGAGCAGGCAGGAGAGCAGGCAGGTGAGCAGGCAGGTGAGCAGGCAGGAGAGCAGCACGCTACAGCTACCTGAGGCTGAGGAAAGAGGCAAGATGAGGCACCGAGGAGGGAAGGGAGCAAGGATGGCTTTTCATCTCAGGACCCCACCCCAGTGGGAATCCAAGGAGGGCAGAGAAACCCATGAGGCGTGTCAATCGAAAACCCCGGGCTTTCCCCTCCCCCTCCACTCCCTGTGTGCCTGCTCTCACGCTCCCCCCTCTCATCTCCCCCTCTCTCATCCCCCCACTCTCATCCCCCCCCTCTCATCCCCCCCCTCTCATCCGCCCCCCTCTCATCCGCCCCCCTCTCATCCGCCCCCCTCTCATCCGCCCACCTCACCTTCTCCGCGTGGCCAAGCCCCTTCTTCTCCACGAGGTGCTTCAGCAGCAGGTCCGCCACTCGCCTTCCCCGCACGTACAGCGGAATGCCCTGGGGGAAGGGGAAGAAGGGGAACGGAACAGGAGGGATAAAATGATGAAATTGAGTCTAGATTTTCCCGAAAGTACTGCTGGGGTGGGGAATGCCTTGGGTTGGGAGGGAGGTGGACTCGGGAGGGGGGAATGAGAAGGAAGAAACAGCACGGCGAGAAGCGGAGAGGTGGAGAGGTGGGGAGAGAGGGAATGCAAAAAGAATTAGGGAGAGGGTTTAGCAGGCGGAAAGGCGGAGAGGGGGAGGGAGAGAGGCGGAGATGTAAAGAGGGGGATAGGGAGAGGCGGTGAGGCGGAGAGGCGGAGAGGCAGAGGGGGGGAGGGCCAGGTGACTGACATTGAAGAGAACGGGCTCGTCTTGGTGGCCTGAGAAGGAGCCGCCATCGCAGTAGATGAAATAGACGGCGTTCCAGTTGTAGAAGCCTGGTGGGGGGGATGGAGGAAACAGGGGTGGATGTGAGGCGGTGTCAGCACGGGAGGTGAAGAGAGGTGGCCGCGGAGCGGAAGGTTAACAGGCGTATCAACGGCGTTGCTGTGCTGCTGTGCTGCTGCGTTGCTGTGTTGCTGTGCTGCTGTGCTGCTGTGTTGCTGTGCTGCCATGCTGCGCTGAAAAAATCCAGCGGTGGACGTCAATGTGTTTAAGCTGCTCTCCAGAAGAGGGTGTCAAGTCATGCTCACCAGCACCAGCGTCCTCACCAGGGTTGACGGTGCAGTGCGGTGCAGTGCGGTGCGGTGTGGTGCGGTGTAGCAGCTCTGGATGAGCCTCACCAGGGTTGACGGTGCGGTTGGCACTGAGCATGCCGTTCATGCTGCCGCTCTGCACATCCAGTATGCGGTGCGGTGCGGTGCGATGCAGCAGCTACGGATCCTCACCAGGGTTGACAGTCTTATTGGCACTGAGCATGCCGTTCATGCTGCCGTTCTGCACATCCAGTATGCGGTGCGGTGCGGTGCGGTGCGGTGCGATGCAGCAGCTACGGATCCTCACCAGGGTTGACGGTCTTATTTGAGCTGAGCATGCCGTTCATGCTGCCGCTCTGCACATCCACCATCTCCGCCACTGAAAGCGCGCGGTCCGTCGACCCCAGGCGCGTGTGCGCCCTGTACGCGTAGCCGTGGGGAGTCGCGCACCACGCGCCGCCCTGAAATGCGGGCGGAAGGGGAGAGTCAAGGGGAAGCGGAGAGGGGTGGGGGGAGGGGAAGGGGGGCGGAATGGAAGATAGATAAGGGAGGGTACGAAAAACAGTAGAGGTAAGCAAGCAGGGGATGGAGGGCAAACATGGGAGGCGGAGGGTAAGAGAGAATCAGTGACAATTGAAGAAAAGGAGGAAGACGGAAGTCGTTCGTTATAGTCACACCTCGAAGAACAGCACCCAGTTGTTGCGTCCCAAGCCGTAGCCCTTCCGATAGTAGAACCCAGGGGCCGATCCGTCCAAGCACACTGCGCCCTCCGCGCGCCCTTCTTCCGCAATTATCAGCTGCAGCGGCGGAATCTGCGCCTCCGCCTCCGCCTCACCGCTGGCGGAAGGCGCGGAATCCTTCACTACAAGCCCGTCCCCTTCCGCGCCGGAAGCATGGGCGGAATTCTTCACTAGCTCCGCCGCGGCGGGGTCCGCCGCGGCATTACTGTTTCCGCTTCCGCCCGCGGCCAGCTTGCGGGGTAGCGCCGCATTCCCGCTTGATCCGCGCACTCCGCCAGCTGCCGCTGCGACGAGCAGCAGCGCAACGAGACCCGCCGCTGGCGACAGCGCAACTGGCGTGAAGCCCCGGCGCGACATGACGGGCGGCGGAGAAGGGGCGGCGGAGGAGGGGGCGGCGGAGGAAGGGGCGGCGGAGAACGGCGGCGGAGTAGGGGGTAGCGGAGAAGGGACGACGGAGGAGGCGGAGCGGCGGATGATACCGTGGTGAGCAGCAGACGCTTATACCACCCGACGGCCGAAAATAGCAGAGGCAAAGTGCCTTCAAATCAGGTCCAGCAGCGGCGGCAGCAGCTGCGCCGGTGGGAGGAGAGGGGAGCGAGAGCGTGAGGAGTTGCTTGTGCCACAAAAAGCGTGAGGAGCGTGAGGAGAAGTGATATTGTCACGTCTCGCAGACGTGGGTACTACTGGATGTGACATGATCGTAACCTGGATGTCACATCTACTAGATCCCTCTGCTCGCCGTAACCTGCACAGGGACTCTACTAGGAAGTGCTGATCGGGGGCAGGCCACTGGCGCGTCGGGTAGGGGCAGGATTGGCCCTGATCGCTGGGGCAGGGGGGGCAGGTCGGGGCAGGTGGTGGGGCAGGTGGTGCGGCAGGGATAGTAGAAGCCGGCGAAATTCACTGGGTTCCCCTTTCAAATCTGCTTATGGGCGCGCGTATACGCGCGCCGGGTGGGAAGCGACAAAAGAGATCTCCCCCAGGGGTTCCCCCTTCTCCTTCTTCCGTCGGGAATCCTCTCCTCCCCATTCCCACTCGCCCCGTCCAGTTTTCCTGAGTAATGCCATGCGACGCGACCCTTCGGACGGCTGTCAGGGACCTAGGACGTCACAAAATTCCAGGCCTCCAAAATCATCGGATAATCGCCCAGATGGTCCTGAGAAAGCCATGTCGGCAGGAAGTGCGGCTGGTGGATTCTGTCGTCACGTGGCCTCGGTTGTCGGGACACGCGGCAGTAGGCGAATGGCGGCTCGCCATGTGGTACAACGCAGCCTGCTACAGCTCCGAGTTTGTATCCATCTGAAGGTATTTATCCACGGCATGAGAACCCTAAATTTGGAAGACTGGAATTGCGGCATATTTATAGTCTCTGGCGAGAAGATTGTACACTAATTGCCACGTTTTCAAAGTTACGTTTCGTTTATAACAGATAGGCTCCCACGCTCAGCCAACGGCGGTTTCCTGAGGGAGTGGTGCACTGGGTCGTTCAAACGACCACCGTACTGCACCTCAGAAAGTTTTAAATCTTCACACCTAACCGTGTTCAGCCTTTGATTTATCTCAGCTAGGGAAACTAAGCAAAACCCCCACTAGGGATTGAAAAATATGTCGTGAGCTCACGCCAGGTGGCGAAGAAGCACTGCGAACGTGTTTTGAGTACAATTGTAAACACGACAGATGAGTCGAAACTTCACTGTACCTGATATGAGGTCTCCGAAAAAACATCTACATTTTTCAACAATAGTCTCTTACCTCTTCATTTCGTTTTGAGGCTAGTATCGCGATTAGGGTGAGCGGGCTCGAAATTCTCAAATGTTTAGTGTCAGCACGCATTCTTCAGGTGGTTTGAATGGCTCACTCGTGTCAGGTAGAGGTGCAGATGCTCCTGGATTGACCTGCAGATTCGTCAGCTGGTGTTCTGTACACTAAAGTCTACGTGCCACTGTACACTTCCGTTAGCGGATCAGTTTTTTTTTCAGGTGCAATGCTTCTCTCACGCACAGTTATGTGGTGCACGTCCGCTCTGGTGGTGCGGCAGGCTTGTATTCTGTGGTGGGTACAAAAGTCAACACGAGTTGAGACTAGCTGACGCTGCAAGGAAGTACAACACCCTTGAGCAGTGGTGTCCAGCAATCCTAGTCATTATTTCGTGTTTATCTTCCGTTGTTGGAAAATGCTCTTTGCCATCAGTGCTAAATTGGGCTTCCAAGAGATACAGAAAAGGTACCATAACGGTAGTTCTATCGTGAGTTTCGAAGTATCGAGGCACTGCCCGTGATATTTGTAGTCCCTGATCTGATTTGGCGTCTGGCTTGCAATTTTTTCTGCCAATCAGCTGTAGGCTTTTGTACAGGTTCGGCAGTCGTCGAACTGCCAAAGCTGGCGCATCGAGCCGTTGGATTTCTGAGAAACGGTTGAATGAACAGCTAAGATCCAACTCACGTGCTGCTGTGGCGATGAAAAAGCCTTGCGCGAAGGAGAGATTCAGCCCTAGCGGCAGATGTTCGTAGCGACTGTGAACGTGCAGTGCAGTGCAGTGTATTTAGTCCTCCAAAACCGTTTTAGAGAATGGAATGTGAGTCAATGGGATGGGTGGGTCTGTGTGAAAATGTAGCAGCAACTACAGAGTAACATCAATGGTGGTACTTTGCATGCACCCCTAGTCGTCCTTTCTTAAACGGGCTTCGGGAATGGAGATGATAAACGGGATCCCAAACTTACATGCTGAAAAAGGATGGCGAAGTCACCATCACTGTGGGCGTAGCAGGCATGACATGTCCCACTCCTGCTCTCTCTCCCCATGCCATACTCCATCCATCCGTATCAACTGACTGTAACGGTACATGCCTCCGATACTTTTGCTTTCTCAACATGCCATCTTTTGTATCACAGTAGCCGCCCGCACCGGTATGTTCATACTATTCTACATCAGCTATTTCTGCTCTCCCAGGGGAGAGAGAGGGGTTGAGCCACAGCGCGTCAGCACAACAGTGGCTGTAACAGTACGTGCCATCCATTATTTCTGCGCTCCCGGCACGCCATGCCATACTTCTTCTGCTGCGTCACAGAGGCCGTGCCGAAATGTGCATACTGTACTGTTCCTCATTAGCTATTTCTGTTCCCCGGACACGCCATACTTCTTCTGCCTCTTACCCAACTCCTCCTCGCTCTTCCTCTGTTCACCCATCCCAGAAAGCACCACACATCCCCGACAACATCACAGTAGCCGCACCAGCATGTGCCTCGCGCTATTTCTGAGGCGCCTCAAAACTAGACTATTTCTGTTCCCCCGACACGCCATACTTCTTCTGCATCTTATCCAGCTCCTCCTCGTTCTTCTTCTGCTCACCCACCCCAGCAAGGGCCACACAGAGAAGAAGGGAGGCGGAAGAGGAAGGGGGGAACAGAAAGGGGAGCGCGGGGCAAAGGGGCAGAGGTGACATGTGAATATGCCTGTATTGGTTGCTGGTCGAACATAGTGCGCAGAAACCGTAAAGCAGCAGTACGGAAGAGGGTTCGGATAATCCCACCTCGCTCACCTCTGTTGTTCTGGACGGTCGGTTGCGCCTGAGACTGCAAAACAGCAGAGCAGACCGTAATCAACACACCTGGTCGATCTTCTTGGTGAACTTGGCCTGCTGGTAGTAGAGAGCACAATGAGGCATCTGTCGGCCACGTTGAGCCTCCAAACAGGGAAGCACATTCCAGACCCAGCTCATTCCTTCAAGGTTGAGCCCGACTGCGGGTTGTGCCTCATGCATACAAACCGCAGAACACAACAGGAGGGCATACCTGGTCGATCTTCTTGGTGAACTTGGCTTGCTGGTAGTAGAGCACTATGAGGTATCTGTGTTTGTTTGTGCTGAACACATCCCACTTCCAGGGGAATGCTATCTCCTGACCCTTGAATGCACTCACCTGGTCGATCTTCTTGGTGAACTTGGCTTGCTGGTAGTGAGGTACCGATTGGTCACGTTGAACCTCCAACCTGCCTGTAACTACTTTCAAAGGGCACCATCGCAGCAGGTAGAGCATACCTGGTCGATCTTCTTGGTGAACTTGGCCTGCTGATAGTAGAGCACTATGAGGTACCGATTGGCCACGTTGAACCCCGACAGATGCTCCACCGCGTTCTTGGCGTCGTATATGTCCTCGTACACCACAAAGGCCGTGCCTCGCGTCTCTTTTGTCACTCCGCTGGAAAGGGAATGATACAGGGAGGAAGCACGCAGGAAGGAATGATGCTCCACAGCGTTCTTGGCGTCGCGTCGTAGATGTTCTCGTACACCACACACGCTGTTCCCCTCGTCTCTTTTGTCACACCGCTAAAGGGAAACATGAAACACAGTTAGGGGGCAAGGCAGGGAGGGCATAAGAAGGATGCTCCACGGCGTTCTTGGCGTACACCACGAAGGCCGTGCCGCGTGTCTCCTTTGTCACGTCTCTGAAGGGAAACACGAGGAGAGAAAAGGTAGGCAATGCTGAGGGCGCGCTGAGGATGCTCAACGGCGTTCTTGGCATCGTAGATGTCCTCGCGTACACCACGAAAGGCGTGCCGCGCGTTTCCGTTGTTACCCCGCTGGAGGAGGGATAAGAGAGGGAGAAGACAAGGAGGAACAATGCTCTGCGGCGTTCTTTGCGACGTACATGTCCTCGCACACCACGAAAGCTCCCGCGCGTCTCCTTGGTCACTCCGCTGGAAGAGGGATAAGAATGAACAGGACACGGACAGGAAGGAGGGAATGATGCTCCGCGGCATTCTTGGCGCCGTACATGTCCTCGGTACACCAAGAAGGCCGTTCCCCTTGGTGCCCTTTTCTTTGTTGATCATTCTCAAGAATTCTCAAGAGTGCCGTTCCTGGGGGCCACGATACAACTGCAAGCATGCGCACTGCACTCCATGAACGCCGTTCCTTGTCACCGCTATTATGAAAGAACGATCTAGGACTGGTAGGAGTCGTGTTTTGGGTCGACTCAAAACACCAAGCATGTGCACCGCACTCCAGGAACGCCGTTCCTTGTCACCGCTATTACAAGAGAACAATTGTGGGCTGGTGAAATGGAATGGAAGCTGGGAAACTTGGTGTAGGACCATGTCCGTACGGTGGTTGATGTTGAAAATTCTCAAAATCAACCGCCTCATAGTCGCCCTTCTGCTGGCAGGCACAAGGACATGGACAATAGGCGTTGACAGAGACTACGCTAAAGGGGGTGCAGAAACGAATGGCATTCTTCCCATGAGAGGGTACAAGAAAATGGCCTCATACAGCACGAGAGCGTGCCTGGTGTTTCACAAGTTCTGCAGCAGAAACGGGGCAATGGATACACCAGAGCGCCAATCGCCAAAGGAGTGTGCA